CTGCTGAACACAAAAAGAACAGAAGAGTGCTCTGTCCCTGCTCCATTACACTCAGGCTCAGTGTAGTTCTCTGAACCTGAGAAAAAACTTCTTCACTGTGAGCGTGACTGAGCATTGGAACAGGTTGCCCAGAGAGGTAGTGGAGTCTCCTTCCCTGGAGATTTTCAAAACCCGTCTGGATGTGATCCTGGGAAATATGCTCTAGGTGACCCTGCTTGAGCAGGGAGGTTGGACTAGATGATCTCCAGAGGTCCCTTCCAACCTAAACGATTCTGCAATTCTGTGATTCTGTAATGCAAATCACAGCTCAGCATGTGAGTGCTTACCTCCTCAGTGTGACTGTGTGTGGCAAACTCACCACGCAGAAACACGCACACCAGCAGGTAGTTGATGTGCTCTCTGGCCATGGTGGCTGTCCCTTTTAAAAGCAGAGGGTATTGGTCATCCAGCCAAAGAAGGTGTAGTTCTGTCACACATGATGGCATAGCTCCAGTTCTCGTCTCAGGATGGCTCTTTATTAATCAAAGTCAAAACACTGCAAAGCAGAACATTTCAAAGAAAGTTCTCTTCTCCTGGAAGGTGGTGACAGGATCTGAAGACTCCACAATCACTGTGTGGGACATCATTGAGCCAGGTACCAAACTCCTCTCCATCGGCCATGCACGCAGGAGAGAGGAGATAATACGCATGGTCCTCAACACCTCCTAGTAAAGCTTATTACTGCAGCAGGCAATGGGACCATCAAGGTTTGTGCTCTGACCCAGAGAGAGTTGGTGCTATAACCCCATATCAGCTCCAGGCTGGCTGTCACAAGGATTTTTCTACCCAGAGGCAGTTCTCCCTAGACTGAGTTTCCTTGCCCCTTGGCTCTCGCTGCGGACAATGAGTCACCTGCCTCTCTGAAAAGCATCTCTTCTTCTGATGCTTTCAGTTACATTTAGAGCTGTAGGTTCAGTTCTGATCCTCTTTACCCTCCTCACTGTTTGGGACTGGAGCAACATTTAGCATCTTTTTATCTGCCTTTCTCCTCCCACAGGCTTGGAAAACATCATACAAATACTGGGTTGGGTCAAACTAACCATGTTTGCTTTGGGACAGGTCTGGGCCGTTCACAGCGGTCACAGCTTGCACCAGCTGGAAGTGATGGAAGAAGCTGAAATCACAGCACTGGTCACACTGCACACCAAACCCTGCTGGCAGTGGGATGGAGCTGCCACATTGTCCTGAAAAACTTGCGTAAGCTTGGGTTGAGTGGGAGAGGACAAACCGGATGGAAACAGCTGCCTGCTAGACAGCAAAGGCTTTCCTGCGCTGCGCACCACAGCAGTGACACTCCTAGCTTTAGGGTACAAGACATATTTCTTAGCTACAGCTGCAGAAATGACCTTGCGGTGAGCTGGTTAGAAGTCCAGTTGAAGTCAGAGGCATGTAGTTGTCAAACCGGCAGAGAGGTGAATAAGTCATGCAGCGCTAAAAGCAAAGTTTTCCAGCAGAAAAGCACACTCTTCTCTAGCTGGTGCTTGAAATAACACTTGTCTCTGTTTATCAGCAAAGGCAGCATTTGTAACACACTTGCTCCACTCCTGAGCTCTGGGATACGTCTGCTTAACCAAACTTGGTTTAACTCTCTCTCTTGCTCTCACTCTGATTGTAGGACTTACAAGTCTCTCCAAAGCCCTCTTGGAAGGGGCGGTAGTTGCACCAAGAGGACATTTTGGCAGTAGATCATTGCCCTGCTCTTGGACTTCTTGCTACAGCCAATTTTGTTGGAGAAATTGTGGTCTGGAATACAGAATTGCATATCATCTACCTCGGAGAGCCTCAGCAGAAAGGGTATCATTTGCTTTAGGATGATTGATGGAGAGGTATTTATTAAATTGTAGGCCAAGGGAGTTAATAGGCCTGTTTTGTGTGTTACATAGTTGAACAGGTTCCAAGTTATACATTCTTTTTTCCTCATAAAAAGCTTTCGTCTTTATTAGAGCCTTAACGCTAAATACGTCAGCATCTCAGCTGTTCTCCAACATTTTTCTATTTATCTTCCATATCATGGTTAACATAAGTGGTTGGGAATGGGCAGAGGCTGACGGGGGTAGTGTCTTTGTTGAAATAATACATCTTAAACTAGGTGCTTCACACAGAAAACTTTCATTCTCCTTCTGAGGTCATCTCAGAGTTCTGGGCAAACTCTGAGGGCTTCTTAAACACCATTTTAAGCATAATTAATGTTTGCAGAGTGCTTTGAAGATGAAAAGCAGCTGTACTATTATTATACTGGCAGGACTGTGCATATGAAAGCTGAAATATAAAATGTGGAAAACGGCAGTGTAAAATGTCACAGGCTCGCTGATCCGGCCCTCTGGGGGCAAGCTGAGTCTTGGCCTGCATGCCACTAATGTTAATGGGGCTTTTTGAGAGTAGATGGATTTATTCTGATGTTGGTTCTCTAGAAATCAACCTAAGCAGTCTAATAAAAGCATTTTAAAATGCATGTGTGAGTGGCTGCATATGCGTGTGTGTGGTGTGTGTGTGTGTGTGTGCATATGCATGTGTTTGCACATTATTTTTTTGTTTAAGAAATTCCGGGAGAAAGCTTGGTGCTCTCGATAGTCAATGTTTCTTGCTCTTTTCTTTCATCTTCACTAGTATCATGCACGGGCTGAGTTACCCTTTAAGAAAGTTTTGGGTACGTAGGCCTGGAGGTAGTCAGAGACAATAAAGGCTAGGCATGATCTGAATGCATTACTCATTGCCTGATTAGGTCACATCCTCCTGCGGGTAAATTGCTCTTCATCCAGCATTGCTCTAGAAACAGCATTTCAAAAGACCGAGCAATTCTTGTCAGCCGTTGGTGGTGGAGTTTGGTAATGCTGTTAAATCTGCTCCGTTCTTGTCTTCAGCAAGACGAAGTGAACACCCAGGCCTGGTGACCTGCAGAAATCCTGGCTCCACTGCAGTCTTTGGGAGTCTTCCTAGTAACTTCAGTGGGGGCCAGGGTCTTGACCCAGGAGTTCAGAGCACATCACTGAGACTATGGAGATACAAAGCTTTCAGCCTCACATCCTGGCCTCGTGTCCCAGCCGTTTCTCAGGTACATTTCAGAAGGGTAAAGTTCTAGAGTACAAGTTTTCCTAGCTTGTTTGCAACCTGTTCTGTCTGAAATAACTACAGGAGTTTCTGGGCCTTGTAATCAGCAGCTTTTTCCAACATAAAACCAGGAATGTAGCTGACCCGCTGCTTTTTACTTTACGTATTTTTTTAATTCCTTCTGATTTTGAACGTGCAACATCATAGTCACTGAGTTGTAGATAAGGCCACTGAGAATAGCTCAAAAAAAGTTTAAGCCATTTACAGACACTGAAATGCTAGGTAAACAGAAAAGCTTTTAAACATTTTACAAGACCAGCTTTAAAAACAGGATATACAAACCCCTTATCTTGGGGAGCGTTTATCCCAGTGATCAGAGGTTCATTTCAACATCTCTGTCAGGGAAATAAAAGCCCTATAAAAATAAAAAACAAAGCACAAACATGAAGTTGAGCCCAGGAAAAATAAAGACAATTGCTGTGCTAAAAAGGGAGAAAACGTGGTAGTCAACGCACAGCCACACTGAGTGGGAGCGGATAATTTTAGTCAAGCACCAAATAAAAAAAAAAAGAAAGGGGGGGGCCAGAGAGTTTATGGATGAAAATGGCAACCCACAGGACTGTCGTTGGACGTGGTGAGCCCCTGCATACAAC